TTTTTTCAATTTAATTTGTCTTATGCTTTGCAGCCCCAGCCGAGATATCCCAGCAATTTTTCTACTTGAAAAGTTATTGCAATTTCCCAAACTCTTCAAGAAAAAGTCGAATTCTTTAGATTCATTGCAAATCCCACTTCAAATCGAGCCTCACGTCAAAAAAATGAAAAAACAAGGAATCTCGGATCATTGGTTTTTGAGGAAATTTTGCCGAATTATCAAGTCAGAAAAGAAAACTTTCCAGCAAAAAAAAATTCTTTCCAGAAAAATATTTAAATTCTCGAAATCGAGTATTCTGTGGCACTTTGCAAAAAATAAATGATCCGAGATTCCTTTTTTTTCAATTTTCTGAAAGATTTTTTTTGACGTGAGCCTCAAAATGTTAATCAATAATCGAACAAAAATTCTAAAGTTTACCCATTCATGGCCTCAAATAGCAAGCTGAAACTTTCGCATGTCCTTTGAAAATTATATTCTAAACTTTTGTCAAAATTGTGACACTTTTCACCTTTCAAAACTATGCGTAATATCACCGCAAAGAGTTCTGCTGATGACGACATTTGCATTTTTCTATTATATAAATTTCCCTCTCTAATCTCTTTTTTGCCATTTCCAGACCTCAAATTCTAATCTTTACACTTATCTTCTAACCCTCCCAAAAATTGTTTATGTTATCCATGAAGGGGTTATAAATAATTTCTTCTCCGAAAAATCTTTTTCATGAAATTTTCATATTCTTTCAATACAAAACTTTGGTCATCTCTTCAGAATTTCCAATTTTTTCTTGTAAAATACCGTCAATTTTTTTCGGGAATGTCCAAGGGGAACAGCTGGCGAAAAATGCTCGAAAAAAATGGAATGGCCGGTAGCGACTGGCACGTTTCTGGCCGCATTTTTTCTTTAATAAATATTTGCACAGTGCGCGACGCGTGTCTGGCCCCGAGGGCGTGAATGGTGGCCATAAGAGGGCATGTGAACCCAACAAATTAGCAATTCTCGAAGGGCGAAGAGGATTACATGGAGGGGAAGAGAGCAACTGAATAATGCAAGTGTAATGGAGTTTTGTGGATGTTACTTTGTGATATTATACATTGAAGATGTTGAGGAAAAAGTAGAGTTTCTGTACACACATCAAATTCAAAAGGAAGAGAGCCTACGGAGCAAAAAAAATTTGCGATAGAATGGACTTGCAATTCGAAAATGATAATGTATTTGCAGACATTTTTTAAATTACAAAAGTGCATTTTTCTCTAATCTAGGGCATGGTCAATACAGGTGGCAAATCAAGGTCAATTTTTTTTGATTGCTTTATATGAGCCATTTGATGGCCTACTGGAACAAATGGGAAAATCGCAAATGGTCGTTTTGTAAGCCTCTAATCTACAGTCGGGGACCTGGCAAGAAATGTACCATTTTGCATCCAGGAAGTATCAAAAATGTAGCAAAATGCCTCCCTCTCCAAGTGAAAAAACTCAGGTTTCAAAAGCGCGCCTGTTCTTTTCGTGATGGAAAAGACGCGCCCTTCAAAACTGAGCTTTTTCACTAGGATAGGGAAGCATTTTGCTACATTTTTTAATGCTTACCGGATGATATAAATGGTACCTTTTTTTGCCAGTGTATCAGGCCCCCCACAGTAAGGCGCATGGTCAATACAGGTGGCAAATCAAGGTCAAAATTTTTTGATTGCTATCGTAAGTGCAGCTGAGACATCAGCGATCTTTATGTACGTAAAATCAGGGGAGTTCGACCGACGCAAAAATTTTTTCGGGAATAACTTTTTACAAATTCTGCTGGGAGAACATTTGTGTTAGCAGAAACACGATCCTTCTGACTTCTTGAAAGCCTGAGGTTTTTGAACGGAGAGTTAAAAAGTCAAGTAAAAATATATGAAACGTGTCAAGATATCTTGCGTCAATTCGTACCTAAAAATTTCGGTTCTTTCTGCAAGCCGCAGGCTGAAACTTTGTTTCTAAAGGTTCTATTTCAAAATTAGTACCAAGCCGCATCATCTTTAAACGCCTCACCTCAGCTATAGAAATGATATTTGTCATCATTTCCTATTTAACATTTTTCTGAAAAAGTCCAAAAGTGCAAACTCAACGATTTTCCGAATTACATTTTCAGATTTACTATCAACGATCATGCACTTCAAATAGTGGCCCAAACAAATTATTCATCAAGACGAATTGCCCGAGAAATCCGAACTCCCGGATTTCGTGGGGTTTCTGATTAGTCCGCTTGCACTCATGTTTACTGACTTTTGTTTGTTATTTCCAAGAATGACAGAGTCTTGCAGACCTTGATGGAAGGTCAGAAATTGAAGGATGATATCTTTGCTTGTTTTAAAAGGCTTCACAAAGCTAAGAGTGCAGGTGTTCTTCTCTTACATCTCTGCAAAAATCCAAAAATTTTTGGCTTACGAAATCCCCAAATGTGACCATTTGATTTTGATGGACCCTAACATAAAATATGAATATATTTTTGTAATTCATTTGCCCACTTCTTACAGTGGGGGATCAGATCCAGTGGCAAAAAAACGTACCATTTTGCATCCGGGAAGCATCAAAAAGTGTGGCAAAATACCTCCCTCTCCAAGTGAAAAGACTCCGATATCAAAAGTGCACCCGCTTTTTTTGTGAGGAAAAAAGGCGCACCCTTGAAAACAAAGTTTTTTTTCACTTGGAGAGAGAACCATTCTACCACATTTTTGATGCTTCGCGGATGCAAAATCGTACGTTTTTTGCCAGTGGATCAGGTCCATCACTGTAATTTGCAACATGTTCAAATAACCCAAAGCTTCATGCCGAGAATAGAGAACCCTTTGGCATTTTTTAGGATTTCAATTTTTGGCCTGTGACATAACCTTCTACATACGAAAAAGCAAAATTTCAAAGCAAATAATCACCACAGAGAAATAATTTTTGGTCGGTTAATCATTGACGCTTAACATACGCCCTGGAGTAAACAACACTTGAAAAAGAATAAAATAAACAATACCATCTTTTAGGGGATTTTTTCAACTAACATGCCGGATTATTAATAGTGAGATTTTAGCTATTCAATTTCAAGTCCAAAAATCGCTTTTTTGACCTTTGAAAGTGGGCCAAATCACGTCAGATGTCAATCTTCGAGACCCGAAGAGACAGCCAGGATTACTCATTCATCGTTTGGAAAAAATTATTTGATTTTGAAAAAGAAATGAACAGAAGAACGTTGCTTTGTCAACTGGAGATTTAAAATCAAAAATCATTTCGAAAAAACTTCTAATTTTAGTACTTTACACTAAAATACTACACAACCGTTTTTTGGAACGTATTTTACCCAAAAAAAGCCTTTAGTTCAATGAATCACATGACTAGAAAACCATTGAAGAATAGCTTCAAAACAACCATAAATCCGATTTTTATACCCTTCTTTTTTCATGAAGCCTATTTTGAAAAACAGTGGCTTATCACCTGCCTTCGGGTCATAAGGTGGTTGTGACACATGATTTAGCAAAAGACTGATTGCTCAAAGCCATAAAAAACTGTTTTTCGTTCCGATTTTCTTGAAGAAATTAATAGCAGCAGTTGTAAATCAAAGAGAAATAACCAAAGTTTGTTTAAAATGGCATTAATTTTGAATAGTAAAACTATCCATTCCAAATAAAGAATTTCTAATGACGTATTTTAAATGCACTTTTAAGCGGATTTGATATGAATATTTTCACATCCATATTAATTTTTCACTAATCCGATTTCCTCCTTCGCCTTTATGGATACTGTATTCCATTTATTTTTGTTGACAAGTCGAGCAGAGAAGAACGGCACCACTTTCCACCAAACTTAACCTTTACACTTTTTTCGGCCATGGCGACTAATCCCTGAACAGACAAAGACGTCAATTGCATTGGTGAAAGTGTATGTGTTAGAGTGCAAAATGAAAAAAAAATGCAATTTGGCTATAACCATATTTGCAAATTGGACTTTGCAAGATGCATGTCGCAAAGGATCAAAAAGTTTTAAAAAATAGTAAAACTTTGGACGGTCAGGTTTACCGCGGTCACTAAAGATATCAAAGTTCTTATGGACTCTTTAGAGCTACAGTAAGGGGCCTGATCCAGTGGCAAAAAACGTACCATTTTGCATCCGGGAAGTATAAAAAATGTGGCAAAATGCTTCCCTCTCCAAGTGAAAAAACTTTATTTTGAAGGGCACGCTCCTCAGAAAAATAGCGTGCTTTTGAAATTGGAGTTTTTTCATTCAAGAGGAAAATATTTTGCCACATTTTTGATACTTCCCGGATGCAAAATGATATTTTTTTGCCACTAGATCAGGTCTCTTAATGTAGAAACTGCAATGAAAAACAAAAAATTCATAAGTCTATAGATTATACGGTCAAATTCCAAGCGGAATTGTTCCTTATCTATAACTGTAAAGGACAATAAAATGGCTCTAGTATGGATTTGTGATGTTTCTCCAGGGGTTTGTAGGATGATTGTAGGATAAGTGTAGATTCCCGGCACTAGAGATAAAGTCAGGCTAAATTTTGTAACGATACCGTTTCAAATTTTTGTCGGACTTGCTAGGTGAAAGCCATGTCCAGCCGGCTTAGAGTGGTCCGCGTATTCGCTAGATAGAGCTCTAAAATTTTTTACGATTACTAAACGGCTGCAAAACTGATGCAGCAAGACCACTCATTTGCACGACCGAGGGGCATGTCTGATGACTTGGAGCTGGCCTGATGCCGGGATTACCACAGTTAAAAAATTCGACTCATTTCCATTTCTTCATCGTATAAAGTAAATTCCTTTGCAACAACCAAAATTGCTCGTTGCTGAACTCTTGCCCTATGAAATTCGACTTGATAACAACTCCTCTGATTCAGTCATGTTGCAAAAGACAAACATGAGTGCATTGTCCCGGGGAAAGCCTCAATCTTACTACTGATAAGGATGCACATTACATCACATAAATTTTTGGTTTTAGTATTCATTTCCCCATTCGCAACAACGTTTCATAATGAACACCAAAAGTTGTCTTCTCTTTTCTCTAATTGCTAGCTTGTGTAACGGTGCCAATATTTTATTCTACAACTCGGCGAGGGTCGGCCAATCTCACATGTTCTTTATGGGCAGATTGGCCGACTGGCTGGTAGAAGCCGGACATAATGTGGTAGGTTCTGTAGTTGTTGGAGGAATGAATAGTGTTGTCGGAAGGGATCGAATCGGTCCGTTTTTAATTTGCTTACAATTAGCCTAGGCTTTTTGTCATTTATATATGTTCATGTGGAAGACCAGTATAGTCTAATACAGTGGAGGACCCGATCCAGTGGCAAAAAACCTACCATTTTGCATCCGGGAAGTATCAAGAATGTGGAAAAATACCTCCCTTTCCAAATGAAGAAAACCTTCGATATAAACGCTTGAGGGAAAGGGAAGTTTCTTCAAAACGAATTTTTTTTTGCTTGGAGAGGGAAGCATTTTGCCACATTTTTGGTGCTTCCCGGACGCAAAATGGCACGTTTTTTGCCACTGGATCAGGTCCCCCACTGTACAAAAAAACCTGCGCTATTATGAATTCAGGACGTCTAATTAGTTTTTCTCTTCATCATCTATACGTTGGGGATCTCACCGTGGCGATATCAAAAAATTGATTCTCCTAGTATTCCACAATGCCTGGTTTACTCGTTTATCGCAATTTTTCAGACATTCTATCAACAAGATCTCCTTGAAAATTCCAGTAACACCGGAACAAAATTAGCGCATACAGTTGTGCGTCAAAAAATCCCCTTGGAAAGGGATGACGTCGGTCAGTCGATATATTGGTTGCCGTTTGATGAGGCCACTTTTAAGGTAATTCTTTATTCATACCCCTGCAAATTTAAATACTGTATTTTACACTTACTCTTCAGTTCATGAAAAACTATGGCTATCTTCAAGGAGTGGCTTGTGAATGTAAGCGTTTTGAAAAAAGGCTTTGCAAATATACCTCAACGAATCTTATAACCTACAGCGACTTTGTTTTAGCTCAACTCCAAGACCCTGAATTGGCAAAAAGGCTAAAAAATGAGAAATACGACTTTGCTGTTATTGAATATTTTGATTTTTGCTCGTATGCGATGCTGGAGAAAGCGGGAATTAAGAAATATGCTACAACTTCCGCTTTGATTCCATCGAATTCAATTCCAATAGCGTTGGGAGTCCCAGCTGGATTGGGTGTTATTCCAGGTGAGCTCTTATTTACAGTACACCACACACATTACAGTATGCTAACAAGGAAAGTACTTTTATGGGGTATGGAGTTACAGATCGAGAAATATCTCAAAAAAATCGCAAAATATTTCTGCCTCAGAATATGTAAAAACTAGCTGCCCAATTATAGTTTGTAATGGCGAAAAAATCCTCACAAGGGCTCGGCAAAACCTCGTCCCTTGGTTTTATCTTGAGGCATATACCATTCGAAACAGGGTAAAAAACTGGTCTACGGCCACCTTGAATTAGCTGTTATTATTCACTTACGCGCTGGCTAGCGCATTTGTGTGGTGTTGCGAGAAAAGTTCTGATGTTTTTTCGTCCTTACAAGCCAAAGTTCGGCAGCTAGTTTTTACATATTCTAAATCATAAAAAATTTTGCGATTTTTTCGATATATGTCTGGACCTGTAACTCCCTATCCGATAGAAGTACCTTCCTTGTAAAACAGCAAAGACATTCAAGATTTTTTATCATTACAGCTTGGCTTGACATTCTCAGCGAGACCCCCACATTTTACGAACGTCTGCTCGCCATGTACAACCATATCCGCGGCCTTTTCCGCCTGTCCAAAGCCGCAAGCGGCAGACAAATCCAAGCGATCAAGAAATACCACGATCCCCATTTCAATGCGCTTCACAAAATTGCCGGCAGCTCTTACATTTTCGTCAATATTGATGAGCATCTCACCTTCCAGCAACCAATATCTCCAAAAATGATTTTCCTCGGAAGCTCAGACGTCAAGAAGCAGCCTGAGGCGTTGAGTTCGGATTTCAAAAACATCGTGGACAGTGCAGAACAAGGAGTTGTTGTTATTTCCCTAGGTTCCACGGTAAAAAGTTCTGAGATGCCGTTGCCTTTGAAGGACGCGCTTGTGGAGACGGTGAAGAGCTTCCCCGATGTAAGCTTCATTTGGAAATACGAGATTGTTGATGAGGTTGGAGCGAATCTCACGAATCTGTACAAGAGAAAATGGATCCCTCAGCATGAGTTGTTCGGTAAGGAGCGGCTTTTTAAAAATAACAAATACCTATCGATGTATTAAAATATATCGGTGGGTATTTGTTATTTCTTAACATACAGAAGGGGACCTGATCCAGTAGCAAAAAACGTACTATAGTGCATCCAGGAAATATCAAAAATGTGGCAAAATGCTTCCCTCTCCAAGTGAAAAAACTCCGATTTCGGCCGCTCTTTTTGTGAGAGAAAGAGCGCGCCCTTCAAAACGAAGTTTTTTCACTTGGAGAAGGAAGCATTTTGCCACATTTTTGATGCTTCTCGGATGCAAAATGGTATGTTTTTTGCCACTGGATCAGGTCCGCGACTGTAAGCACAACGCCTATTTTGGCCAAATTAGAAGGTATAACATTCTCTCCAAATTTCAGCCAATCCCCGAGTACTTGCGTTTGTAACACATGGCGGATTAAACAGTTTAAGTGAGACGGCCGAAATGGGCGTCCCAGCAATTTGCCTGCCTCTTTGTAATGACCAAGCACAGAACTGCCAAGCTCTTCAAGCTCATGGGATTGCAATTATGATCGGGAAAAATTGTGATGCCCGAGTCTTGAAACAAGCGCTGGAAAAGGTGTTGAATGATGAAAGGTCAGTAAATACAGAAATAGTGGATGCCCACAGTAGTCTAATATATCTTCGACACCGCTTCTGAATAACTGAAAAATTATTTTTCCAGTGTCCGCCAGAAAGCCAAGAACATGGCGGATCTCATAAGTCACAAGCCGTTCTCTGCTAAAGAAAGATTCGTCCGGTATATTGACCATGCCATTAAGTTTGATGTTGCCGAAGCGTTGGACATCAAGAGTAGAAATCATGGGCTTATCAGGGCTCATAATCTGGATTATCTATTATATTTCTCTGTGCTCTTGTTCGCCGTTCTCTCAGTAGTTTACCACTCCGTCAAGTTGACACTGCGCTTGTTCTGGAGGGTATTACTGTCTAGATTGGTAACGAAAACGAAGATTGAGTAGATGTATATAATCTAGAGAAATATTTGAGCCACATGGGCAAGGTCTTTGACTTTATTATTTATATGGATCTAGTGTCTTCCTCGTATATTTTCCTATCAATCGGCATCTTTGGTCACCTGAAATTGAAAGAGTATCATCTTCCATTTATAAACTCCTTCAAATTCCCTTGCCAAGGGCAAAAACTACTTTCAGATAAGAACCGCATTCCGAGGCTAAATATTTGAGGTTAATAACGTGTGTGTTGGTTGTATGTGCGTAATAGCCTCAAGATAAGAGGGTCAAATCGCGACATGATTGAAGCTTGCTTTCTACTTATCTTGATAAAAAAGTAAAAATTTTCTATTTCAAGTCGCTCAGAACATAATCAACCTTAAGTTTGCGACTGCAAAAAATAGCAGGAAAACTTTGGCAAAAAGCGCTCTGTTGCGTTGAAAGTCGCACGGACAGAGCGCTTACTTGAGACTGATACGATAGATTATGACGCCCACAAAAAAGAACGCAAAGTACATATGAATTAATGATATTCGCAAAAATGTACGGCTAAAAATACTGTTATCAGCGAGACGAAGTATCAGACGGAATGATGTCGTTAGGTGCAACAAAAGACAAAGTCCATACAAAAAAAATCTTGAAGTTAAGGATAAGCCTTTCAGACGTGGGCGTCGTCTAACGGTCGTATGTTTCAACTTGTGTTCTAGCATTTAAAGAAAGAGAATCGAACCAGCGAATGCTGTCGAAGTTTTAAGACTATCATTCAAACACATCACACAGTATTCATTTCGAGTCCTGTACATATCGCTGACCATCAGGTGGTCCCTCGAGCACAAGAAATAACCATCTGTGATAATTTTAAGAGCAGAGTGTCCGCTTTGTGACCCCAAATGATAAAAATTTTGGGTGCCTTGATCAACAAAATATAATGTTATTACATCATCTTTGGGGGAAACTTATAATCAACGCCTCACGTACTGTAAATCAGTAACAAATTACACCAGAATTTCATGTAAAACTCAGATTTGCTTGAAATTCTGACTATGCACTCCCTCAACTGACCTTCGACATCTACAACGCTTTGAAACTACACAAAAGAACTCAAAGGACGCCAAAAGTTTAGTTAACCCTTCAAAAACGTCTGCAACTTCAACGAATAAATTTTTTGCGCTTTGAGCTCCTCGATACAAGACAGACAGTATTTCTCGAAAAAATACGTGTATCACAAGACTATACAAGTCTGGGTTCAAACGTCAAGGCTCATACGAGTAAATGTTCACTTTAGAAAAATCTTGTCTCGAATCGAGTCTTGATAAGAGCCCTTTTTAAGACCAATTCTTCTCTTCGTCCTTGATTCATTGAATCCAAATACCGGAATTCCAGCAAATTTCTAAAATTTGGACACCGTAACCATGAACTTTCACAGTATCTTTGGATTACTGATGCTATTAACCACCACTAGCGCCCACAATATTTTGATTTACAATTCGGCGCGCATTGGCCAATCACACATTTTCTTTATGGGAAAATTGGCCGATTGGCTTGTGGAAGCCGGCCATAATGTCACGTTTTATCAACAACACGTCTCCGATCTTACAAACAAAGTCGGAACTAGGCTAGCGAGAACTGTCGTGCGTCCAAAGCCTAATATTTCGGTTGCCACTGACCCAGGACAAGATCAGTTTTGGAAACCAACGGCATTAGCAAATGCAGCGGTAAGTAAGGGTCGAATTAAAAGGGGAACACCGTATTAGCAAAATAAGCTGACACAGAGTCCTTCGAGAGCAAAAATCTTTGTTCCTTCAAGAGTAAAAACCTATTTTCAGTTCTTGCGCTACTTCGGCGCACTTCAAGGCCAAGCTTGTCGGGGTAAGTCCACACCTTTCAATCAAAATGTAATATTTTTCTTTTACGACTACATTTTTGAATTTAGCTCAACTACTGGACCCCACACTCCCAGAACAACTCCGCGATGAGAAATACGACTTTGCTCTTCTCGAATACTTTGATCAATGCGGGTATGCGCTACTAGAGAAAGCTGGAATCAAGAAATACGCAAGTTTATCGGCGTTCATGCCTCCCGCACCACTCTATGGAGCTCTAGGTTTGCCACTCGGAATTGGTGTTGTACCATGTAAGTTGATTAATTTTCTTGTAACAGAACTACCTATTATGCCACAAAAAGATTAATCTCCACCATTTTCAGCCTGGAGCGACAAACTCAGCTCGAATCCGACCTTTTCCGAACGACTTCGAGCCTTGGTCAACCATCTACTGCAAATCATTTACGCTGGAAAAATTACGAACCCTTCGTTGTCTGTTATCCAAGATCTCCACGACAAAAACTTCAACCATCTCGAGAAAATCTCAAGAAGTTCCTATATCTTCACAAATGTCGATGAGCATCTCACATTTCAACATGCAACCTCATCCAAATTGATCTTCATCGGCGGATCTGATATGAAAAATCATAAACCAAAGCCACTTCCCTCAGACTTCCAAAAAATAGTCGATAATTCGAAGCGCGGAGTTGTCCTAGTTTCCTTCGGAACCGTGACAATGGCTTACAAGATGCCCCAGGAAAAGAAGGAGGCGTTTGAGGAGTTGTTCAAAAGAAACTCTGACATTGATTTCATTTGGAAGTACGAAGTTGAAGACGACGTAGCCGCTAATTTGACTAATGTCCACAAAAGGAAATGGATGCCTCAACACGACTTGTTGGGTAAGCTAGTTTCCTTGTTAATAACCCTTGGTTTTTAGCGAATCCCCGAACTCTCGCATTTATCACCCATGGTGGGCTCAACAGTCTCAGCGAGACAGCCGAAATGGGAGTGCCAACAATTTGCGTCCCATTCTTCGCTGATCAAGTCCCCAACTGCCAAGCCGCCCAATACCATGGGATTTCAATCCCACTTGACAAAATCAGTCTAAATGCGGCTCACTTGGACGGTGCGTTGGGAAAACTGCTAGCGGATCCAATGTAAGGGTTAAAACCAACACTTTCTCACCAAAAATGCCATTTCAGTTATCGCCAACGAGCTCAGGACATGGCCGATCTCATGAACAACAAGCCATTCTCACCTAGGGAGCGGTTCGTGCGTTATGTGGAGCATGCGATAAAATACAATGTCCACGAAGCCTTGGACTTGCCAGTTCGAACTCAAGGATTTATTAAATCGCATAATATTGATTTTATCCTATTTTTCGCCACAGTTCTCTTGTTGTCTTTCGTTGCACTTTACTACAGTGTACTTTATACTGTAAAACTGCAACTCAACATTGTAAATAACTTTATTAGTAAGACAAAAACCGCATAGCTTTATGCTGTAAATTAGTAATTTGTTATCGTTGTTTTTGAGATAAATGTAAAATATCTCTTCATTTTCTTCATTCGCATGCTGTGATTGACAGAGAAAGTGCAAGGCACATAAACAATCAAAATAGCATCAACCTTGGAGTTTGCGCTTTGTGATCCCCGCTAAAACTGTTATTTCCCTAGTTGTATCTTATCCCAACTGATGAAACACACACGTTAAAATCACATTTCTCTCGGAAATCGGAATTGAACGCCGTGATTACTGTAACCACAATTTTTCTAGCCTACTGCGCTAACTGCTCCCTACACTTTAAAGTCGCGATTAGCCTTTGAATTTATCGGTGTCGTGTGCGACCGGTTCTAAAACAGACAAAAAATTTGGAGAAGCACATGAAATCAATTGAAAATTTCGGAGTCTGCTCCAATTTTCTGTGTTTTGTGGGATCAAGCGCGTCACAAATCAGGACTACAAGTTATAAAAGCGGGAGATCACAGCGGAAAAACGTACGACGAACTTTTGTCATCAACAACATTCGTGTTGACCGCGAATTGATAAGGAAGCTTCGAAAGAGCAATTATTTCATTCGTTCTTTAAAAATTGGAGTGCACGCTTCTTTGCATCCACCTTATAAAATTTTGGGCTCAACGGCAATGAATTTTACCAATATTTTTGCACTACTATTCCTTTTAACTACATCTGATGCCCACAATATTTTATTCTACAGTTCGGCACGCATCGCCCAATCCCATATTTTCTTTATGGGAAAATTGGCCGACTGGCTCGTCGAGGCTGGCCATAATGTCACTTTTTATCAGCAACACGTCACTGATCATACGAATCAAGTCGGCACTAAGCTAGCGAGGACTGTGGTGCGGCCGAAACCCAATATTACAGTGGATACGGACCCCGGGCAAGACATTTTTTGGAAACCAACGGCGCAGTCGAATACCGCGGTAAGTGCTTCTAAGTGCCACTTCTTTAGTTTCGCTATAACCTACAAAAGTTACTTATCAGTGAACTCTAAATATTTCTTTCAGTATCTAAAGCACTTCATATATCTTAGCAGCCAAGTTTGTCGATGTAAGTTTAAGCTTATTAAAATGCCACCTAATCTCAAATTGCAATGTAATTACCATTGATTTCAGCTCAACTCGTCGACCCCCAACTCCCCGAACAACTACGCAGTGAGAAATATGACTTTGCGGTGCTTGAATTCATTGATCGGTGTGGCTATGCTATACTGGAAAAGGCGGGAATCGAGAAATATGCAACTTTGACAGCCTTTATGCCGTCTCGGCCAATTTACGCTGCTCTAGGACTTCCGCTAGGAATTGGATTTGTGCCAGGTAAAAAAGTTGTCAAAGTATACTTTTATTACACCAGAGATACATTTACACAGGTTACTTGTTAAGTAATGATTTTCAGGACTGTACATAACCTTGACGACGGTTAACCTTAACTATGGCTAATCAAACCTAAACCTATACATTTTTCAGACTGGACCAGCGAATTCAGCGCAATGCAAACCTACTCCGAGCGCCTTCAAGCATTCGCCAACCACCTATTAAACCTTGCCTTCATGGAAAAAGTCAAAACACTCCCCACAACAGCTGCCATTCAAGAGCTCCACGACAAGAACTTCAACGTTATCGAGAAAATCGCAAAGAGCTCCTACATCTTCACAAATGTCGATGAGCATCTTTCATTTCAACATCCAACCTCATCCAAACTAATCTTCATCGGCGGATCTGATATGAAAAATCATAAACCAAAGCCACTTCCTTCAGATTTCCAAAAAATAGTGGACAACTCGAAGCGAGGAGTTGTCCTAGTTTCCTTTGGAACAGTGACATTGGCTTACAAGATGCCTCAGGAAAAGAAGGAAGCATTTGAGGAGTTGTTCAAGAGAAACCCTGACATTGATTTCATCTGGAAATACGAGGTGGAAGATGAAGTCGCAGCAAAGCTACCCAATGTCCATAAAAGGAAATGGATCCCTCAGCATGAATTGCTGGGTAAGTGCATTGGAAATAGCTGCTAAAAAAGTTGTTTTTTGCAAAAGGGCAAATATACAAGGGAGAATAGCACTTTTGATGTCGGGGTAAACCGAGTTTCTCTTTCAAACAATTCGAAGTTATCAACAGCTAACCTGTGTATACAGTGGCGCACCTGATCCAGTGGCAAAAAATTGCCATTTAGCATCCGTGAAGTACCAAAAAATGTAGCAAAATACCTTCCCTTCCACGTGAAAAAAACTCTGGTTTCAAAAGCGCGCCCGTTCTTTTTGTGAGGGAAAGGCGCCCTTCAAAACGGAGTTTTTTCACTTGGAGAGGGAGGTATTTTGCAACATTTTTTGTCGCTTCCCGAAAGCAAAATGGTACGTTTTTTGCCACTGGATCAGGTCCGTCATTGTACTTTCGCCATATTTTTCAGCCAATCCCCGAACTCTCGCTTTTATTACCCATGGTGGGCTCAACAGTCTCAGCGAGACAGCCGAAATGGGAGTTCCGACCATTTGTATCCCCTTGTTCGTCGATCAAATCCCTAACTGCCAAGCCGCCCAATCTCATCGAATTTCAATCCCGTTGGATAAAATGAGCTTGAACGCTGCTGATTTGGACGAAGCGCTGCAAAAACTTCTGGCAGACCCAAGGTAAGACGACGAACAACAATTTCTAATTAAGAAATCTTCAGTTATCGCCAGCGCGCTCAGAACATGGCCAACCTCATGAACAACAAGCCCTTCTCACCACGCGAACGATTTGTGCGTTACGTCGAGCATGCTGTTAAATACGACGTACACGAAGTTTTGGATTTGCAAATTCGAACTGAAGGGTTTATCAAGTCCCACAATATCGATTTCATCTTATTTTTGGCCATAATCACTTTGCTATCATCAGTAGTGGTTTACTACAGTGTATTTTACACTGTAAAACTGCTGCTAAAAGTTGTAATCATCGCGGGAAAGACAAAAACCGAATAACTTTTGTCGTACAATTAATATTTATTGTTTTTTTTTTGGAAAATAAAATGTAAAATACGTATTTTGTAAATAATTTTACCCGTACGTTTGCAATTGTCTCCCATTTCCCACGTTTTCAATTTTTTCTGCTGCAAAATTCAAATTTATGCAAATTTAAAGACTTTAAAATGACAAAGCGACTGTTTCAATCGCATTGTCTCTCATTTCCCCTGGTCAGTCGCCGCTTTGACCGGTCGAATCTTCACCGAGAACTCATTTGATGTATCCGAGTGAACGAGAACCCGCTGGTTCCGACACCGACAAAACCAATGCTGGTACAACAACCGGGAACCCGAAAGCAGTGAGTTGGCAATGTTTCGACGAGAATGAAAACCCATTTGGGGAGCTAAGCCCGATTTTTCGATATTATACTTGGTCTATAAAGAGAAAAAAAACGAAATTCGCCTTTTTGCTGTTTTTTCGATTCACTTATGTCTCAAAGACAAGCGGATCAAAATTAAATTGAAAAGAAAAGCATGCATTACGCTAATCTTTCCAGTCTGCGGACCAAACCCAGGTGAACAAACCCTCCGTTTTTGTGGCTCCGCCACTGGAAAATCAGAATCCAGTAAAAGAATCGGAAAAGAAGGACGATGCCAGCCAAAAGGAGGGACCACCGAAAGTAGATTCCAAGCAGAAGGAGAGTCCAGTAACAGACACCCCGTTGGAAACGAACAAAGAAATGATGAAAGATCCAAAAGGAGAGAAGGAGAACAAAAAGGACAAGAAAACTGAGGAGGAGGAACAAAAGAAGGAAAAGGATAAGGTAAGAGCCACGGTTGAGAACGAATTTCCCTCGCACGTCAATCCAGCCCATTTCCTGAACCGTTTCGAAACTTCGTATCGTTTTCATTGATTTAAAAGAGAGACGAAATGTCGCGAAATTATCGGCACTTTTTCTCGCCCGAAACAACTGCTTTTTTTTGAAAAGGAAGAAGAAAGATAAGAAAATGCGTTTTATCGGATAGTGACATTTCGTTTTGAACGAATCGCCAAAAAGGGGCGGGAAATTTTTTCTTCTGTTTTGGGTTGACGTGCCTCGGACCTTTTCGGAAATTTCGTGGGCCCACGCAGGATCAAAAGATTGAGTACGGAAAGGTCCGCTGTGCGGAAAGGTCCGCTGTCCGGAAAGGTCCGCTGCGGAAAGGTCCGCTAAAAAAAGGAAAAGAAGAGGGTGGGAAAAAAGGATTTTTTTGTGAAATTTGAATAAAATTTGAAATGTTTTCGCTTCGGGACTTGGAAAAAGGATTTTTTGTGAAATTTGAATAAAATTTGAAATGTTTTCGCTTCGAGACTTGGAAAAAAGGATTTTTTGTGAAATTTGAATAAAATTAGAAATTTTTTCGAGCTGACTGAGTATGAACGAATATGAAAACTGGGTTTCTGTTACTTTACTACCTTTAGGGATTCTTTTTGAAATTTTTTCGACTTATAACACTTTTAGACGTTAATGGTGTTGTTTTGGTGCCTAGTACTGCTTAAAAAACACATTTTTACCACTTGGTACTAAATAGTACTACCTGGTACTATTTAGTACGAGGTGCAAATTTGGCCGTAAGGCGGTAATGGCGTTGGTTTGGTGCTTAGTAGAACCCAAAAACACGTTTTAACACTTGGTACTATATAGTACCAACTGGTACTGTTTAGTGAGGAGTGAAAATTTGGCCGTAAGGCAGTAATGATGATGGTTTGGTGCTTAGTAGAGCCCAAAAACACGTGGTACTATATAGTACCAGGTGGTACCATTGGTTTTAGACAAAATTTTAGTGCTGGCGGCACCACAGTTAATATTCATGTCAGACACCCTTTTTTCTACTCCCGATGCGAAAAGATTTCAAAATTTTGTTGAATTTTCCAAAAAATTCTTTTTTTTCCCAGTCTCGAAGCGAAAACATTTAAAATTTTTTTCAAAATTCACAAAAAATCCTTTTTTTCAAGTCTCGAAGCGAAACCATTTTAAATTTTTTTCAAATTTCACAAAAAATCCTTTTTTTCAAGTCTCGAAGCGAAAACATTTTAAAAATTTATTTTTTCGAGACTAGTCACACCTAAAAATCAAATCACCAAGTACAATATAACTTACGTCTAAATCCATTATTCAAAAATTTTTTTAAAAATTACTAGTTAACACTACTGCCTAAGCAAAATTGTAAAATTCAGAAAAAATGGATACGATATTCGAAATCGGCGCCTTCGAAAACCTCCCCCTCCCCTCCCTCCTCTTTTCTTTTTTTAGCGGACCTTTCCGCACAGCGGACCTTTCCGCGCAGCGGACCATTCCGCACAGCGGACCTTTCCGTCCTTCGTGGGATCAAAAATGTGCTGAAAATGGTAGGGCGCAGCTCGGAAAACTGGCACGGGCGAAGCTCGCATCTGTGGGGGCAGCTCGGAAAATAAGTTTTTGCAGCTCGCTGGAGCCAAGTTTCAGCTTGTTTTCGAGCTGTCCAAGACGCGAGCTGCGCCCGTGCAAGTTCTCCGAGCTGCGCCCTATGATTTTCGGCTAGCGCATTGGGCCCATAATCCAGAAATTCTTTGGTTTCGATACGTTTCGAAATGTTGCATAGCAATTTAGAATTTTTATGGCGCGTTTTACATCCTATGTTGCGTTGTTTGATCCGAATATTCTATTTATATCAACTTCGACATGGATAATATAAAAATACTCTAAATTCAGGAAGAAAAGCCCAAGGAAGAGAAGAAAGAAGAGAAAGAAAAGAAGGAGGATGCTGGTGGGAAGAAGGACAAGCTCTCGGTTAGTGTCTCCGGAACCGGAAAGAAGAAACCAAAGAAGAAGAAGGAAACGGACAGTAAAGAAGCGCTGGAGAGGGAGGCCAAGCACAAGAAGAGGCTGAATCACATCCCACCGAAGCCTGAACAAATCTACGCTGAGTTGCCGAAGAAACGGACTTTCTGGGGATGGTGTGAGTTGATTTTTGATTAGTTTTTGAAGTGATATAGGTGGGAAATGGTTCCGAAAATCAATGTTAATTTTGATTAGGCATGGCTCCGGGCCGGGCTTTCCAAAATTTTCCGGCCCGGGCCGGGCCGACTAATTTCTCGGCCCGACCCCGGGCTTCGATTTTCAGGCCCGGCCCGGCCCGGGCCGGCCCGGTTTTTTTGAAATCTGAGTTTTGCCCGGAAAAAAGGGAAAAAAAGAAACTTTTTCGATAGAATTTTTCATTTTTTCGAACACAATGCTGATAGCGAAAGTAAAGTGACCTTATTTACCACTCGCCCAAATAAAAAAATAATTTTCCAGTCAATTTGAAAAAATTTTCGGAAGTTCTAAAGTGCGACCTCATAGTTAATACGCTGGCAAAAAGAGAAAAAGGAAAATTTTTCAAAAATACGCAATACGCTTGTAGGTTTTTTCAAATCCGATAAAAGATCTGTGATAAAATATTTTTGCTAAAATTTCGGTGACTATACATAAAATTTTACGATTTTTTGTAACCATATGGTAAGACAATTTATGGTGCCTTAGTAATTTATAAAAATAGTCGAGCGGCAATTGCACTATGTATAGGTTTTGGTAAATTATTCTTTACATTTTGCGAAGATGTGCCGTAATTTTCCCTTCATTTGCTGCTTTGTTCCTTTCCAGCCTAGTACAAAATTTTTCCGGGCCGAACCGGGCCGGGCTTTCCAAATTTTCCAAGCCCGGGCCCAGGGCCGGGCTTGGAGATTTAGGCCCGGCCCGCAGGCCCGGGCCGGGCCGGGCCGGGCTGGCCCGGTTTGCAGCCATGCTTAATTTTGATTGCTAAATCTCTATTCTTTTAGTTGTCGCGCCGGTGTACATTTTGACGATTTGGGGCATGCTGGCAGCCATGATGGCCCCGATTATGTTCTTTATCCCCGAAATTTATAAAGGAGGCCCGGAAAACGTTGGAGATGGCTCATTTTTGGGCAGGGTTCCAAGTAAGTTTACTGTTTTGTTTTGGTGTTTAGGTAACTCGTTATAAAATTTTGAATCTGTTTGACAAAGTTGCCAAAGATTACGAGCTCATTTCAGAGCTGATCTTCGAACCGAATGTGGCCCGATTGGGGATTGCAAAGTCGGACAATCATGAGGTAGAGGAGCGAAAACGTCATCCATCTGAGATCCACTACATTAATAGACTCCCTCGGACTTATGAACCGTATCTAACGAGATTGAGGTTCTTGTTGACTGATGGTAAGTAATGGATAATATAATTTTTTGTTAGAAATTTGTGTTTTGCTATTCTAACTGGAGAAAAATTTCAGAATATGGACCAGAACGTTTTACGCAATGCTTTGGAGACACTGAACATCAACGAGCGGGTTGCCTCGTGGACTTGAGCAACGAGAATTATGAGCTGGGATATGGCGCGTGCGCTGTTGCGCAAGGCCAAACTGTCCAATCATTTTCGTTTGGGTTCGAAGATCAGCAACCTTGCATCATTGTGCGACAAAATAAGGTTTGAGTTTCTTTTAATTATGTTGTTTTTTTTGCTTCTAGATGCTCCATTACATGCCAAAGTTGGTTGACATCCGAAATATGACAAAAGATCTGCGGATTTTGGGTGAAGTTCAGACCTTGTGCAACAGAGAGCATTATAACGAAAGTTTGGAGGGAGATTGTTGTTTCTTCAAGAGATCTCTTCTCAAATGCGAGACTGATAATGGTGTGGTCCAGATCTTCCCGTCAATGGGAGTGCCGGCATGCCATTTTCCATACAAGTCCAGCGCCAACGATGATGATGTGAATAGTTATCAACAGCCAATTCACTTTGTTAGGGTAAGTATTAGATGAATTTTTTGTTTGGTTTTTTAGGAATGGATGGGAGTGTCGTTGGAAGGCTTAAAAATTATATTGTGATGGTCCCTATTTTAGGTGTCTCCAGCCAACGAAGGAGACAAGGCTACCGTAACTTGTTACGTAGACGAAGATTTGAAGGACGATGCCAATCATTTTGTCCGGTTCAGCGTTCAGATCTTCCCCACCCCCAAAAAATCGTCGTTCAGACTTCCTATCTCCATCTTCACCTTGATTGTCCCATTTTTGATCAAATTGTTGTGACAGCTGCTAAATTAGCAGATTCACAGATCGATAAATCCCGAACTATATAAAAATTTAATTGGAAAATGTGTTTAATAATCTGAAAATGGATTTGTACATTACCATGATACATACTTTTTATGGATACCATTCCTAATGTAGCCCTATATTATAGTGGGGACAATAAAGCTCAAATGCCAAGAAAAATCTACGAAAGAAAAACTGGCAGTAAATGTCAACAACAATATACAAATACGTTCTTTGGTGAGAGAGGACCGGTTTCGGGAGTCACATGGAGTGTTTGTGGAAGAATTTACAAGTAACAAGGAGCCGTTCTAGGCTTGAGCCACATCATGATAGACGTACCGTCGCGTGTACAGAAGGCCGAGTGCACTGCCGGCGACGAGAAGGAGCTGTAAATAGAAGAATCGTAAGCATTTATTGTGGTTTGTTTGGCTTTTAGATGGAAAATTGGATTTTCACGGCAAAAATCTCATGAAAATCTAATTCTGTTTGTTTGAAAAGGTTCGACACGAGCGTGAAAACTGCCAGAATAGCATAAGCAGGCTATTGCTGGCTGAATGAACGCTTTGATAAGTATTTGTGTCTTATGAGCTCTATCTAATTTTTGTTTTGGTCGTCATGGATAATATAGTTTTAAAATTCGGTGAACAAATCGTTGAATTTATTTGAAAACTGATGACTGATATAGCCGAATAGCGATGTAGCATGTCAATCCAAATAGAAGAAAAAAATTCCCGCCCCTTTTTGGCGATTCGTTCAAAACGAAATGTCACTATCCGATAAAAAGCATTTTCTTATCTTTCTTCTTTCTTTTCGTGAAAAAGCAACTATTTCGGGTGAGAAAAATTGCCGATAATTTCGCGACATTTCGTCACTCTTTTAAATCAATGAAAGCGATACAAATCAGTCTTATATTCCCTGCCATCAATTATATTATACATGACGAATTCCACCCCACTTACCAAACTCAACACCACACCGCTAACGAAAAAGAGCGGGACGGCCATGCAAAAATGACCATCCTGTTGCAACGGATAGGGCTCATTGTACTCTGTCACCGACAGGTTCAGTGTTTGCGGACATTTTTCTTCTGGCCATCGTTCTGGAACGCCCAACGGCAAAACTTCGATTTGCTGGCTGACGGCGTCGAAGAATGAGGAGAATGGCGAGCGACTAAAAAAGAATGTGGCATTAGATGTAGTTTACAGTCATTTTCATTGCGAAATGACTTTGGGCAAGATTGAAAACAGATTGTTTTTTCAAAAATTGGTTTGATGTCAAGTGCAATATTAAAAAATATGTGTTAAAGCAGCAAAGCTGGTTGTAAAACTTACGATGGTCGGTTGTGCCCAGAGCATTTGGGGCGTGGACACGTCTCGTTTGGATGAATGTCGACCAGATTCATCTCACATTGATAGTAGATGAATGGTTTATCCGCTACTCCAAAGATCCTCGATCGTTGAAGAACTCGAGTCTAAAAGTGGAGAAGGATTAGAGTTACTAAGGTCAGCGAGGTCTTGTTGATGCCGCTGAGGTGAATTTTGGTTATTGATTGGAAGGAGATACAGTGAGGGACTTGATCCAGTGGCAAAAAACGTACCATTTTGCATCCCGGAAGTATGAAAAAATGTAGCAAAATGCCTCCTTCTCCAACTAAAAAGCTCCGTTTTGAAGGGCGGGCTTTTTAAATCGGAGTTTTTTCACTTGGAGAGGGAGGTGTTTTGCTACATTTTTTGATACTTCGTGGATGCAAAATGGTACTTTTTTTGCCATTGGATCAGGTCCCTCACTGTCCCAACAATTTAGCCTTGAAAGGTGATTTACAGTCCGAGACTGGGTCATTTGGAAAAATGCATCCAAATGCATCTATGATGAAACAAAAGCATCATTCTCTTTCTCTGGAGATGAATTTAACGCATTGTAGATGCATTCGGATGCCTTGTTTGCCACAGGACCCTCCCTCGGACCGTGTTTACGTGAAGCTTTTATAGGAAAGCTCGTAAACTGCTTGTTTTTCTTGAGCTGTTGTACAGTGGGGGACCTGATCCAATCGCAAAAAACGTACCATTTTGCATCCGGGAAGTACCAAAAAGGTGGCAAAATGCTTCCCCCTCCAAGTGAAAAAACTTCGTTTTGAAAGACGCGCCCTTTTTCCTCACAAAAAATTCGGGCGCGATTTTGAAATCTGAGTTTTTTCATTTGGAGAAGGAGGTATTTTGCCACATTTTTTGATACTTCCTGGATGCATAAGGCTACGTTTTTTGCCACTGGATCAGGTCCCCCGCTGTATAAACACGTCAGGCTTCAAAGTGGGCCTCTCAGTTCGTATACTTACCTTTCCCTGATACTCCAATGGACTGATGAGGCTTTCATCCTTACTGCACCCATATTGATCGACCAATTCGTGTTGTGAATCGGTCGTTTTTATGAAGCAACTGGTCACGACTAGACATTGATTGGGCCTCGCTCCCTCGCATTCCCATTCATGTCTGACTGGCGTTCCAATTCTCACAGTTCGAATCATCTCTCCGGATCTGTCGTTTTTCACAACATACGAGCAAGTCAGTGCCACTTTTTCCACCGAATTGTCTTGCTCGTCTATCGTTGTAATAGGCGTTGACATGGTCAGCGGCTGCGGTACTCCCGTCCCCATTTCCGAACCGTTTCGAGTATGTAAACAGCGCAAAACGAAGAGCCGATCGGCTTCGGTTACAAACTCGGGATGGAAAGAGAGCAGCACGGTGGCTTCGAGCAGAATGCCCTCGGGCTTTGAACTGCGTATCCGACTGATCCGACAGTCCAAGTGAGGGATTAGGAGCTCGACTTGATTGTTGGTGACCAGAACTTGATAGCAGTAGCGATTCGGGGCGAATCGGACGTTCACCCGGCCGGTAAATGTCTGCTCTGTCTTCCATTTGGCGTAGATTGCGTCGGGCGCGCAACTGAAATCATATTTATTAGATGATTAAAATTTCGAGTTGTTTTTTAATCATTTTTTTGGAGTAATTGAGCAACTATAACTCTTCAAAGTGGCTGAGCTTTGCTCTAAAGTGCTTGCTAATTTTACTTGTTTGGGACAAATCAAACATGAAGTGCGTCCTAAGGACAAGCCCCTGCTCGAACATCAGTTTTGCCGGGCCCTGCGGCACAATCTATTTGTCACCCAAAGGGCCTGTTCGCATGATTCTGTCCCATTGAATTAAATGCGCGACCATTTCGAGGAATTTATTGTTCTGCTTCTTCACTCTTTTTGTTGGTTAATTATTCATTCGCAATTTGGCGTAGACAGAAACAAGAAAAAATACGAGAGATGTTTGTCCCATATTGTCTCATTTATTGGATAAGGAAGGCATATTAGGTCGCTGTTGGAGACTTGAGAGTTTGGTTCAAAAACTGGCTTGTTAAAAAATGTTGCATACTGCGAATATTCTGTTGGCTTTTTTTTTGATTTTCGGACTACTAACTGACAAGGGAAGTCACTTAAATCACGGATCGATTTTGTAAAATGACTGTTACAGCGATGGGGAGGGTAGGACGGAGATATCAAATCTGAAAACCGCTACCTCCACCGGCCTCTGGGAGCCGAGATAATCGACGAAAAAGTTTCACCAAATTCCTTCGAACTTTTCTTCCTTCCGAAAGAAGGGAACCCAGCGAACCGAATGGTCCGGTGGTCTGGAAGCGCGCTTCCGGGCCTTCACCTTTTCAGGTTCGAATCCGCGCGGGTCACGAACTTGTGAAAAATTTATAAAACAATTGCTGTGATCCAATAAATTTACTAGCAATTTATTTTTAAATTTTATGCCTATTTTACGCTAAATTTTCAACCTTGAAAATTCAAATCGTTTGGAACTCACATTCAAATTATTACACTGAAATTTTATCGTAAAGTCTGCAAAAAATCAAAAATTTTATTTTACTGGTAAATTTACTGGATTACAGGAAAAGTTTAATAAATTATTTGACCCATGCGGATTCGAACCTGAAAAGGTCAAAGCCCGGAAGCGCGCTTCCAGACCACCGGACCATTCGGTTCTCTTCCCTCCTTCTTTCGAAAAGAAGAGCTTTTCGGAGCAACTTTTTTTGGTCAAACTTTTTTGGTCGATTATCTCGGCTCCCAGAGGCCGGTGGAGGTAGCGGTTTTCAGATTTGATATCTCTGTCCCACCCTCCCCATCGCTGTAACCATCGTTTTTAAAAATCGATCCGTGACTTAAGTGACTTCCCTTGTGAGCGATAAAAAAGTATATTTGGGTACTATAGAACTTATCTCTTAGTGCATGTCGCTAAAATCATTCCAGCAACTTTACAAACTGACACTATAGTGACGCACCCGATCCAGTGGCAAAAGACGTACCATTTTGCTTCCGGGAAGCATCAAAAATGTGGCAAAATACCTCCCTATCCAACTGTAAAAACTCCGTTTTGAAATGCGCGCCCTTTCCCTCACAAAAGGAGAGGGCGCGCTTTTGAAATTGGAGTCTTTTCACTTGGAAGGAGGTATTTTGCTACATTTTTTGTTGCTTCCAGGATGCAAAATGGTACGTATTTTGCCACTGGATCAGGTCCGCCACTGTACCTAGTGAGGCTTCTCGATTTATAAATGTGCTCTGTTTTGTGTCTATTATTATATTTACAATCTCGAAGAAAAGTTTTGGAATCATTTTGTTGGATTCCTATTCATAATCGAGAAACCGCCCAAAAGAGTTTCTTTATAACTCCTTTCAATTATTCCCCTTTTTTCTCACTCACGTCACAACGCCCCTTTTTTCGGTCCACGTTTCTAATTCTTTCTAATGTCCCCCATCCTCGAATCCAAGTCTAATAGAAACTGACTTTTCGTCCATTCTCTGAGACCTTACTCCTTTTAAATTGTGACTGTTAGTTTCCAAAAAATATAGCAGGGATTAGTTACAATTTTAGACACAGTTCTGCAGGATTAAATCCGATTATGAATAGTGTTGAGTGTAAATTGATGTTAATAAAATTCGCTCTTTTTACATACTCATTTGGAATTCTGGGAATGTAATGACATGTGTAAATAGCAAGCGGGAGAATGTTTATTACTTATGAAATTTTTTGAGGGTAAGTAGTCGGCTTGTAGGCGGAAGATTACTTAGTTTTTCTCATTATTTCAGAAAATCTTAAGGGGTTTTCGAGATGTTTGAGGCTATACGGTAGGTTAGGAAGAAAATTATCAAGAAATTTTTATGCGGTGACGTCATAGTTACTTATTTTTTGTAGGGCTTTATTTAGCCCTACAAAAAATGTGTAACATATCAAGCTGTTCGTAGATTCTCTTGTAAGAACTGTTCAAAAATTCCATACGAAATGAGGCGGCTCTGTAAAATTCAAAAAAGCATTGCACTTTCTGCGGGACTTGAACTTTTGGCTTGTTTTCCCCAACCAAAGAAAATACCGTAATTTCCCGTCAATGTGTCCTTATACTTTGCGAAAAGCCACACTTGATCCCTCTCATTTACCGCGTCTGTTTTCGCAGACTGTTGACCTATACACACATATATAACAAAAAACCACGTCCTCGGGATTAATGACCGGACGCATTTCACGCCTTGTAGATGCTTTCAACCCGAAATCCCGGCCTTGTTATTCGCGTTGCTCGGAGTCAACGGCCCGCTCGTTTGGATTCCGAATGCGTTTTTGTTGTACTTGTCGAGTAAATACGGAAGTAGCTCGGGGATGAAGGATAGATAATAGGTTAAGAGGACATTTTTGACGCCCCGTCTGTGATAAAGGTTGGCACAAATTTAGAAGCAGGCCTTCTAAGATATGTGAATGTTTTTCGTAGCGAAAAAATCTGAAAGTCGAAGGATCCATTCGCCTTTCATAATTTATCCTGTATAAACGTATACTTCATGAATATTTTTTTATTCCCTTGACTTCATTGTGTTTATGAAAATATAATTTTTTCCTGTGACACCCATAAAAATACGCTTCATATTACCGCCTATTCAAAGTCTAATCTAATTAGCGGATCGTTTCGGAGCCTCATACAAAAACAAGTGCCATTCGAATGTTTGTTACATACAGAAAACAAATTTTAGATCTAATTATCCAATTACGCATTTAGACATGATTAAGAAGACAAAAACGTCAAAATAAGCATGTCGTCGAATTTCAAAATAAACATCTCGTTGAATTATTTAAACATTTTTCTCCCCCCCCACTTACATACTGACCATGCCGTGAAGATCTTTATGTTCTTTACAGTGAAACTCTGCAATCTTGTCTGCCAACACGCTGTTAAGTTAATCGAAAGCCGATTAAGATGTGGCTGCCGAAGACCTTAAGGACTTCTAATTCTCTTATCTCAAAAAAAGTAACATAAAGGAGAGCTACGGTAACCTAATAACTGAAAAAATGTTAAAAGAAATGCTGATTGTGTTGCTTTTTGGGACGGAAGTCGTTTTCACAGAAAAAACGTTATTTTTTTGCGGTTTTTGGCTTCTGATTTTGGGATGGGTATGTTGTGGATCGAAAGGGAAAAAATTTGTTCTTCCTATGTGAAATTGAAGGTTATAGGGTCATCGTATGATCAGAGTTAAATTGAGGATCTAATCGACAAAGACGCTGAAAAAAATTCGATCTTTTTCTAACGTTTTGTCGGCTGAAACCGACCAAAGATGCCGATAAATCCGTAGGGTACACAGATTGTGGACTTTCAATTTTATTTTCTTCTAAAACGCCGCTATTCACAACAAATTCCGTCTACAGTAAAGCAATTTTTCCCCGCGCTCAACCGTTACACCTCCTCGCCCAAGAATCAAAAATCAAACTGCATAAAAAATAACCGTATTCTGAGGTTTCCTAGTATACTTTGTCCCTTGGTCATCTTTTTGTAATTACATATGAAATAGGGGTTTCTGACTCACAATACCACAATCAAGCCTTCCTGTTGTCACAATGGTAAAATTATTACTGCCCATGTGACATTCTACCCTTGCAATTCGATTGTTTCGCGGGAAATACGATGATTATTGGATAGGGATTCACTCGTTTGAAAAGAGTTAAGCTGCCTGCTGTGAAACACTCTATTATCTTTTTAGACGCATTTTGTTATAAGGTTTTCTTCAATAACTCCAGACGGCCTTCCTGGCTTCTGGTGTATTAAAATGTGGGGCTATGGCGAGGGATTGTGGTGCAGGGCTTTAAATTTGGTCTACGGTTTTGCGTTTGACAAGGCGGTTTCTTTTGGGATCTCTTCTTGAATGAATGAGCTAAGGAAGATGGTTTTTGTTTTCTAAATCTTCTGCAAAGCGCATAAAGCTAAAAAACGATAAGAAGTATATGTCCCTGTACTCTGCGAAGATCTCTCTAGACTCTACCGTAGAAAATCCTGTTTTCGATGACGAATTTTAAATTTTGTATAGATATTAGCGATCCACAGCAATTACGACCTTATTCTCGGAGGGCAATCATCCACATTATTCTGGAAAGCTCTGCTGAATATACCAGACAGTTGAGGGTCTTCGATCCCCAGGGTTTGCATCATTACTCTTTCCCACTACAAAATAATTTTAGCCCACTCAATTTTTCACCTTCAAATTTACAAGCTCTACAAACTTTTTGGCAGTTATGAAAGTAGATTCATACTCAATATCTTCCCAAGGCAGTAAACACTGTATCATGTGGTGTTTGCTAAATTTGTTATAATCCTTTTCAAAGTGGTATCGGATCATGGTTAAGCTACAAATATAAGGCTTTACGGAGCACTTTAAAGAGTACATAGAGGTCTATTTTTTCGAACTTTTGCAGCCTTGCTTTTCTATGGCTTCCTACGTAAAATATAGTAGAATGCACTTTTACAAGATGGATTTGCACCCACTTTTGTACGGAATCTCCATCCATACAGATTATATACTTACAAGGGAAGTACTTGAAGTGTGACGCTCAGATTTTGATGAAACTTTGCACAAATTTAGAATAATTTTTTCTAAGATATATGCGGGAATCCTAGCTCGCGCTTTGCAGAAACAACCGAGATTTTTAGATCGAAAGTTGGCGAAAATTTGGGACTTTTTGCCGAATTTCGGCACGAAAAGTTTCATGCCTATTTCAACCGTAAAGAATAATGTTTCTACAAAAAATCAAATTTTTCCGCACGAAACTGCCAAAGTTATGGCCAAAAAGCGGTTTTCTCTCTGACCGCTCTCCACGTTGAGCGTGCTCTCTCGGCGGCAAAAATCGTTCAATATCTCGGCGGCGCCCGCAAAGCGCGAGCTAAAACTTTCAGGAATTGATATTTAGTCCATACCCGATGTGTGTGCAAAATTTAAAGAAAATCTGAGCGTCACACTTGAAGTACTTCCCCTGTTAGATATGAAAAAGTTTTTTCGTTGATCATGGTCCACCAAACATGTTATCGTAGTTTATTGTGTTCGAGCGTCTTGAGCTCCGGAAGTGCTCTTTTATTTGCCCATTATGTCTGCATAACGATTTATTTCATTTGTTTTTGCCTCCTGCAAGGATGTAAATATGTTTTTCTACCACTTCAAGCTGTCTAGCGTCCAAAGCCTCAATGTAAAAAAGCGTGAGGTTAGAATTGGCAAAAATGAAAACTATTGAGTTGAAAAGGCCTACAACTACCGTATTTAAGCAAAAGCTCCTCTGGAAATTACTGTAATATCCAAAAAAATATCTTTCCAGACTTTACAGCACTATTTATTTTCTTCGAAAAATTGACGAAGTTCTTTTATCTCCTTAGGCATCAAAGCCCGCCCTACGAAATATTAGTTTCTCAAGCCGATTCTAAGAGCTCTACTTTGCGTCCCCGTTCTTGACAAATTTTTGGTCATGTAATTTGTTTGTTTTTCCCCAAAAAAATGTTTTTCGTTTTGGCTATCTCTTGACGCACCGTTGAAATTGACCTGTAAGAATTTTTGTCACTTGAGCTCGCTGCCAAGGAAGTTCGCTATTTTTTAGCCCCTATATAACGTTTGAAAATGTCAGAAAAGCTTCTCACTATAACCTATTACAATATTCTTATACTATTTTTGTTTTTGTCGGCTACAACTTTACTGTCATTCGTTGTAGATTGATACATTTTTTGTAGACTACATTCCACTTAAAGTTTAAAATGCCCTCGGGCAGAGCAAGCATAACTCCCCCCATGTTTATGAGAGGTACTTTTACACGAATTGATATCTTTAGCCGGCTGTTTTTTATCACGTTCGCAAATAATGCATTAAATTTGGAACATTTGGGAACTAAACATCCATGTCCCAAGGAAATTTAAATTATTCAGGCCCTTCCCAAGTAAAACATTCCACGTCAAGGACGAGGATTTGTCCTTGCTTTAAAGAGTATCTGCTCTGCTAATTCGCCATTATGGTGTAGCCTAAGCAATATTTTCAATAATTCACGGTCGATTAAATGTTAGTCTTTTGTTTTGCTATTTACTCGTCCCGAGCTTTATTTGTTGACATGGTCATGTAAGCAAAATCTCATTAAAAATGTTTCCACTGAAAAAGTGGATTAAAAATGCTTTCAGCCTAAAGCTATAATTGAATTGGAGGATTAATTTATTATAAACGGGACCAATGACTAGATCTTGGAATGGCAGTAACCGAGGTCTATAATATTTGTTTTCTGAACTGTTTACCGAAATTTGAGCTCAATTCTTTGATTTCCCACTTACGTGCCCATCTTTTGCCCCCACACTTGGGATTTTTTTGATCTCGCGTGCAGCAGGTCTTTGATCCCTACAAAATATCATTTCATTGGCCATTTATCTGTTTTCCATTAACCCTCACAGCTCTTCGGGAAACTCCTTCGACCTAAAGTCATTTCGCGAAACCTGCAGAATCGCTAATTTCCGCCTATTCAACACCAACATGATATAACAAAACCCTCTCCATTCTCACGACTTTTCCGGTTATCAAAACTTTTCCCTAAAACTTCTTTATTCTCCGCGCTTTCAGCGGCTAATATTATCGCCATATAAACCGACAGAATATGTTAAAACATCATAACGGCTGGCAAGGTTTTGTAGAAAACGCTTGGAGTTGAAGTAATTGTCAACCAAAATCTTACGCTAAGGTTTCCTCTCGCCTTTCAAACTTGTGACGCTAACTGTCTTGTTTTACATTTATCGACCGCTCATTTTTCACCAAGCCGCCTGTTATTATTATAACGCTCGAAAGGAGAATTCGGAAGGACATGAGTAGAGAAATGCGGGAGAAGCGAGGACATCCGGCTGTCCTTGACGGGAATCCAGAACACTGAGGGACGTGCTAATGTTTCGGTTTGTTCCTCACCCCATTTTTTAATATAATTCCCCGCCAAAATGTAGTGCCGAAAAGACTTGGCAAGGGTCATGCGGTTCTTTCGGTGATAAGGAAATGTACAGATGAACTTGATGGTGCTCCGAATGGCCCTTTGATTTTTTAAGTGTCCCGTCTGGCTTTTTTCATTGCAGTAAAATCATTGTGAACCAGCCAATTTACGTCTAGTGTTCTCGTTAATTACCTGCTAAATCGTCTGTATTTTTTCATGCTAAAAACAGCTGTTTCCAGCCACTGATACTGTATGAAGTTCTTTTAATTTCCCTCTATGCGATTTGCAGAGTATATGAGGAAGTTTTCAAGGGAAATGATGCCGTGTGTAGGTGTGTTCACTTGTCCAAAATTGTACTTGGCCACTTCTGGATTATTTATAAACAAGCTTGGTCTCTAAAAGTTCAGAATTCAAAAATTTGTCTTTCGTTATGCCTCTTTGAAATTTAAGCTGTCATTCAACAGTAATTTCAACGTCGGCAGTGGACTCTTTGAAACATTAACTCAACAACTGAACTCTGATGTAAGCCGCTCTTTCTTCGTGATGTAAGGCTTTTTTCCCTCAATTTTCACAATTACCCTATTATTTACTCCTTAATTGTACCTTCTAGAAATTATTAATTGGTGCCGGCTCGTTCCCAAAGGATGATTTTTGCGCTACTTTTTTTTTTGTTTTACTTCCGATATCCACCGGGATTTAGTGGGCTTAAGACCAACTTCAGACTTGTCTCTTGTCAAAACGCGGCTTGTCTTAATTTCTGGATGGTTAAAATTCTGTAGATAAAGTACATTACATATTTGAGAGTTTTGAAGTACTTATGGTTGGTTTATCATCCAAAAAAAACTATGAATTTTCTTAGCTAGACTACTTGATTATTATTACCCCCCTCTAATCCGTACTGTATGAAATATCCCGGAAGCGACGAGATCTCGCCGAGGATTTTGGTCAAGTTCTCGGAAGGAAACGTTTTAATTAAAACTCGAATGTTTACTTTCGACGTGATTATGGTTGTATATCAAACGCATATAAAGCAACAGAGATTGGACATGAGATTGGTGGGATATGCGCATTTTATAGTTTTCGGCCTGCGGACATGTGATTATGATGAGAAAGGGATTTTTTAGACAAATCTTCATATTACTCTCTGTGATTATGACGGAGGCACTGCTTATTTTTAATGAGATATGTTGTAGGTTTACAGAACGGGCATTTTCCAGCGAATTTCCGGGGCTTTTAGACGCTAATCGGGCTTATTGATGGGAAAACTTTGGTTTTGAAAGTTTTGGATCTGAAAGTCTCGTATCTTTTGACGTTTCTGCGATAAAGCGGCCTAAAAATATCCAAAGTACTGCCTAAAATCGTTCTCTCCGCCTGTGTTATGTAAAGATCAATATTTCAGACATTATTAATATTATCCATGACACTAACTCGCCTAAATCCTGAATGGGTTATTTGTCTACCCAATCCTTTCAAATTATTTAATAATTCCACTATAACAGGAAATGTTCTGCCTATAGCGCTAGAAAAATACGTAATCACCCATAGGGGACGTAATTATTCCACACATTTCGCGATTCCTCTCTCTGACAATTAAAATGGAAGAAAAAATGTTTTCCTGAAGTAATTCACTTTGTTGTCCCGCAAATACGTTATGTCACGTCGTACGTGCGGGGGTCATTTGGAATTAGCATGTATAATACCCATTGATTTGGGCATTATGCTAGGGTTTGTCCTCTTTTCATACCATACATTCCGAATGTCCTATTATAATATAAAGAAAAATGTTTTTTCCGACTTTTGACCGGATTTATTAACAAGAAATGACGTCATGGGGTTAAAAATAAAACTTATTTTTGAGCGTTTTAAGGAATTGGGAGTGATGTTTTGTCCCTTTTTTTGGCAGGTTTATACTATTTTTCCTTGAGCGGAAAGGAAGGATATGGCATGCGGTATTCTCACACAGATGCCCAAATAAACATATTTTTACTTGCCAGCGGCCTTAAACTTCCTCCTTGACGCAAAGCGGATGAGAGGAATTGGTTTTCTTGGCAGACGGATATTACACTTGTTTTTTGCTTACGTTTTTTTAGAAAGTCTTTGACAAAATGGGAATTGTTTGTTTTGGATTGTCGTATGTTAAAGCAAAACTGTTTTTAAAATACGTTCTGCAACCTGTCTGGTTGTTTCTTATCTGCAGAGCGGAAAATTTCGTTAAAATTTTCAAATTTCCGCCATTTTTGGCATTCTGTTCTATGCCCTTAAAATTTTGCGAAAAATCTGGGAAAGCCCTACAACTGTTTACTAAGAATTCTCAGCACTTTCATTAGTCCGAAAATAAAATTTGCACCCATTTTTCAAAATCAGCAAGGACTCTACTGCCTTGCCGATTTTGCAATTTTAATATCCATTTTGCAATGTAAATGTGTTTTCCTGTACGAGTGCAAGTTATTTCCCCTACTGTCAGACATTTTATCCCCAGACTACTCCATAAATTTTCCATCACAGTAATGCCAATATTGCAGTGGAGCCAAAAATTTTAATCGCCTAGAGCCCATGCACTTGTCATTCTGTCCCCCCGATTTTGATTACGAATCTATTTCACCGCACCGCCAGACATGTCCCGGCTCGTATGGCCCGTGTTTTGGAAGCCGAGTTTTGCGAATGCAATCCGACGCTTATGTCATCGTTTAATTCCGCGTTTATTAATCAAGGAAGTTGAGGATGGCAATATCAGAATTCATGTAGGGAATAAATGGAGACACAGTTGGCTAATTCCTTTGCAACATTATTTTGGGGACGTTTCGGGCGGGGATATGAACTTTGTTGCCTTTTCAGTCATTATTTATGCAAAACTTTTTAATTTCGCATAAATTATCGGTTAAAATGGCGTTTGAGAAAAATGGGAATGCTTCCTGGATTTTTGGGAAGATTGCGGCCAAACTGTGTATTTTTTTCGAAAATAAAAAATGTGATCTTGGGATATTTTGGGAGGAAAAAATATTTTTACAGTAAGTTTTCCCTATCTATCCTACTCCATATATCAAAGACTCTCTTTAAAAAATCCGTTCTTATTTCTTCGCCTTCCTCGTTATATGTTTTACCGCGTTATTGCAATATTTCTTTATTTTCCCATTACAAACCCTCTGGAACACCCATTTCCCCCTATTCCCCCCTTTTCCAACGGTATTCGAGCCCATTCGCACTCTCAATTCGTTCCTTTCCCCCGCTCTCTCCCCGATTCCTCTCGCTTTTTCCGCCAATTCTTGCGACAGCGGTGAAAAAAACCAAACCTGCGGCGAATTCCGCGGGCCACCCGCATCGCCCGCCATTTTTCCGCATTTTCCCGCCCAAAAGACCGAGAGAAAACGAGCGCTCTGGTCGTCGGGCGCCCTCCCCTTCCAGCACGCCCTCTCCGCGAAAAGGGCGCGGAATTCGCGGACCACCCGCATTCGTCGATCGGTTCGGGAAAAAAGATGAGAAAATGGGGAGGGAGGAGGAGAGAAATGCGGTTTTCGAGGGGATTCCTTGGAGAATAAATTAGACTAGAGGGAGAGGAGGGTAAAATTATGGGTTGGAGGAATAAAGTCGAAGATATGCACGTGATTTTTAAAGTATCAGAAGGCCATATTAGGGCATAGGGGATAAAAATGTAGCCAACATACCATGTTTGTTATTAGGATGACTATAAACCCAAAAAAAATTTTACTTCAAAAATAGCACAAAAGCTCCTTGAAGGCCAACAAAATTAGTTTTAAGGTTAGTAGAGTGCCTAATAAAGGATTAGGAAGCAAAAATAGGACTTGAATTGTCAAGATTTAAGATTTGTGATTAAAAGGCTTAAAACCTCAGAAAAATTCAAGTTTTACTCCAAGTATTATATAAAACGTCCTCTAATAATCAAAAAATGCCCTCCCTACCTGACAAATGGCTGTTCGATGACACCATTCGTGACCTGTCCGCGCACCGTCCATCCAATTAAACTCAGCACAACAAAAGAAAGCATAGTGATTTTGCTGAACTTTGATCTCCTCTCGATTCAAGATTACTTCATGTTCTGCTGAAAATTTTCGTGTTACGTGCGATATATGTGACAGTTTATGTATGGAGACTTGGTTGAGTGAAGACGTATTTTACAGACAGGATTGGCGAGCGAAAGGAGTTGCGGAGATGTCGGCGGAGGCACCGGCTTCGGCTCCGTTCGTGGGGATGCTCTACCTGTGCGTGAGCTTGTTCCCGATTCCCTTTCAGGGACTGGTCATGTTTGTAAGTGATCTTGAGTGGAAAAATCAAAAAAAAATGTTGTTTTTTTGTAAATTTGCTGGATCTGTCGCTTCGAAAATCGCTTCTGACAAGGAAAATACTTTTATGGGGGCTCCGACTTTTCGACGGGACATAACTCAAAAAATCCGAAAAATTGTGCTGATTAAGAATATGTAAAAATTAGCTGCCCGATAAAAATTTATTTTCCATATGTCCCGTCGAAAGGTAGGAGCCCACATAAAACCACTTTCCTTGTAAAATTCTAAAATACGCCATTCCACTTTTGTAGGGTGCAATAAAATCGCGGCTAGTCCGTTCGCGTCCCGCCTACTTCATAATGTTCGTCCTATCAGTGGTGGAAACGGGCCAACTTTTAATCCACGCGTCGACCGGCGGCTTCCTCATTGCTCGACAAGAGATCCCGGAAGCAATTAACGCCGCTCTCTCACATATCATGCTCCCATTGTGGCTGAGCATGGTGTTCCTACACGTTCATCTGAGCATGAACAGAGTATTTGTGATTACCGTAAATAAGTGCGCGTCCTCCGAGGGCTACTGCAGTTACAGTAACCTGCTCGCGGGAGTGTGTTGTGTGGCCGGGACGGTCGCCGGCTACGGCTGTCATGTGGATCAAATGCGATTTCGTTTGTCGATCATGGCGTGGGCCTCGAACCCGGATTCTTCGTGGCTGGTCACCGCGTTGTACTACATACAACTTTTTTTGCCCGTCGTGGGAATTGTAAATTGCCTACTGATTGTGTGCGTGATTATGAAAAAGGTGAGTATCACGCTTCTTGGCCGAAAATATTTATTTTGAAAATTGGAAATCGCCACTTACAGTGGGGGATCTGATCCAGTGGCAAAAAGCGCACCATTTTGCATCCAGGAAGTATCAAAAATGTGGCAAAATGCTTCCATCTCCAAGTGAAAAACTCCGATTTCAAAAGCGCGTCCTTGAAAACGAAGTTTTTTCACATGGAGAGGGAAGCATTTTGCCACATTTGTGATACTTCCCGGATGAAAAATGGTACTTTTTTTGCCACTGGGTCAGGTCCGTCACTGTATATTGTTGTAGTGGGTTTTTGATGACTAAAAGGGAAATCAAAAATTTTCGAATCATTAAGCTTGCATTTTGCAATTTCAAGTGGGGTATTCAACGATCTTTAAAAAATGAAAAAATCGCATTTTCCCGACTTTCAAAAAATTTGAAATTTTCAGCGCCGCCGCTTCCAAAACAACTCAAATATCATCGGGTCGACGGAGGTTCGAATTTTTTTCCACTCGAGCATCGCCTTCTTCCTCACTGCCGCAAATATTTTCCTCTGGTTTCCGTTGAATCGCCTCTTCAACAGTGTCGTTATAATCAATGTTTTGGTGAATTTGGAATGGATTCTCATATGTGCACTACCTCCTTTTCTCACATTGATTTTTAATACGTAAGGCAGCAGAGTTATTGGCGAAAAAAAATTTCAGTCGCGCCGAGCAAAAATATTTTGTCAAGTGTAATACAGGGTGACCCAAAATAACGGAGACGAATTTTGGAAGGGCCCACCGCGAAACCCGGGCGTTATAGAAACACAAGCGACAGTGGGTAATATTCTATAAGACTTTCTCTATAATCCACGAAAATTTGGCGGAGTCATCATGTCGCAGGAAAAAGTTACAGCTTAACAAAAATGCCTTGCGCCATTTTTTGGCCCTCAATTTTGGTTCCTTTGTGTTGTGTAGAGCATGGCTGTACTACAGCCGCAGAAATGGCAAGTTTATTTGTTTTGCTAGACTACTACGTCTCTAAGCAAGCAGTTCTGTAGGTTTCTGGGCTACGGTTTTTATTTCTACGGTTGTACCAATCTCAACATTGAAGATCGCCATTTTTTCCAAATTTTTTCGATAAAAAATTCAGTTTTTTTAGAATAAAGCTAAAACCGCTAGAACGTATTCTATACATAAATACAGTAATTCTGGAAAAAGCTGTGATTGCTGCTGGTTGCAACAGATTTTCCTTGACAAGTTTCTCGCCCAGAACTACCCCATGGCACGCGGCTTTGAGAAAGATGGGTTATCGATAACAAAATGACAAGATAGATAAAAACGGCGCATTCTGCTCTTGTACAATTATGAATACGACTCTTGAGAAACGGACTAGGGCACTTTCGGTCTTTATGTTTCACCGGCTCGACTGGTATTCCGCCTAAGGCAAAAATAAGGCAGAATTCTAGTGATTACCAAATAGCATTCCGTAGCAGTTACAAAATGTTTCTCTTTTGGTTCTATGGTGTTCCTTTAATCATGTTGTAGTAACTCATATTACATTTTGCCTTATCTAACATTTAAACTCCTTTTTACCGATACATTTTCAAAAAAGGCCGATTTTTGCACTTCAACTCCCTGAAAATACTCGGCTGTAACTTTTGAACCATCGATAGTTAAGCTTAGTATGATAGCTCATTTTAAAGGTCTTATTATGATAATTTATAACTGCAAATCTCAAACTATTCCGAGTTTTCTTTTTTGAGTAAGGCAGCTTTCTTGCAAAAAGACCCCACGGGCAGAAAGGTCCGAGTCAACCGGATATATTCATGTGGTTCAAGGCACAAGAGCGTCGTACAACAAAACTTCCGGTATATAAAACTACACTAACGTGGTACTGTAGTATAAATAAGGAATCACTCATGAATCTTCATAGGCCGCAGAAAAAACGGGAAATCTTTTGTCTCCGTTATTTTGGGTCACCCTGTATAATTTTTTTTTTCAATTTCCAAAAAATTGTTTTTCAGTGAGATCCGAGACACGATACTCGAGTCGTTCGGGGAGAAAGCCCGAATATTTTTGTTGACCGATCATCAGCCCAAACGATTGAATAACAAATGTAAATTACTTGGGAACGGAACGGGTACGCCTGTGTGAAATGACTCAAAGGTGAGAAAAGAGGGGATGAAAGTGAAAGGTCAGAGTGGGAAATATGGAAATATATGACTTTTAGAGGGGTTATGACAAAAGAAATCGGAAAGAGAAAAAAAATTTTTTGATTTTTTATGGATGATGTATCTAAAATTTCAAATTTGTCTAAAAAATTGTGAAATAACCGGAAAAGAATTCCTATGGCGTATTTTAAGCACACCTTCAGAGGTTTTGGATGGATTTTTGACAAAAATTTTTTACTTGAAGATGATTGAACAGAATGCCAAAAATGGCGGGAAATTTGAAATTTTGAATTTTTCATGTTTAAGCTGTGTAAAGAAGATTAATAGAGCCTGAATTATAGGTAAAATACGAAAGTATTGTCTTTAATTTTTATAGAATATATTAGACTAGACAAAAAACGGAAAAAAAATAAAAATTTTTAAAAAAAATATTTGGACCTACCTTAATCTACGCCTCCATTCTCTCTTGCAGATCCTCAAACCTCAGCTTTTCCTGTCAAAGTAAAAAAAAACCGCCGAAATGGATGCCAATTCTCGATTCTCTCCCGAACGGATGACTCAAACGGAATCACTCGGCAAACAGATTTCCCTCTTCCTCTTTTGATGTGTTACAACGAGTACAATCGGAACAGATATTTGCCAAATTTACGGGTCTCTGAAATGGAAATTATCGTAAACATGAAGAGTTTTCAATAAAAATTTTAAAACACGCTCAACGATTCAATAAAAAAAAAATAATTTTTTTAAAACTTTACTTTGCAGTTTCACAAAAGAAGAACTAATTTTTTGGATTCCGCTTGTGAAATGCCAAGATTTTTGTGTCCCCGATAAAAATTTTCTTTTTTAATTTTCGTCTGGTTAGCTCTCCGGCTGACCGTAAAACGCGCGATGCTCAAAAATTTGAGCGATAGCTATGTATCAGTCTGTCGGAAAAATAACGGCGGATCGTCGCAGCAAAATGTCTCGCCTCGCCGCTATCGCGCACCAAATCCCAAGTCGCGGCTTGCAGTCGCAAAGCGATGATGAGCGACTCGGAGGCGCGACGATCCGCCGTTTTTTTCCCGACAGACCGATATGTGGCCTATTTAGAACTCCAAAAAAAATTTAAAAATCCGACAGTCAGAAAATGTGAATTTCCATTTTTGACCACAAACTTTGATCGTTCAAAATCTGCACCAGCACTTCGCGACACAAAAATTTCAGCGATTAGTCCTTGGAATAAATAAAATAAAAACTGTGGAAATTCTGTACAAGGAACTCCCGTACAACTAAACATGTCTACAGTGGCCTCATCCAGTGGCAAAAACGTACCATTTTGCATCCGAAAAGTATCAAAAATGTGGCAAAATGCTTCCCTCTCCAAATGAAAAAAGTTCGTTTTGAAGGGCCCTCACAAAAAGAGCGGGCGCGATTTTGAAATCTTAGTTTTTTCACTTGGAGAGGGAGGTATTTTGCCACATTTTTTGATCCTTCCCGGATGCAAAATGGTACATTTTTTGCCACTGGATCAGGTCCCCCACTGTACAGTGAACAATTTCGAAGGTCGCGGATTCAAATTTTAGCCTGAAATGAAGCTTCGTTCAACGAAAATCTATAAAATAATTTTGGTATGGTCACTTGCAAAAAAAAACGATTTTTTAGCTACCACTATAAGGTTCTAAAACAAAATTTCCAGTTATCAAATCCAGTTTCGTTTTGAAAACGTTTGTTGCCACTATGTATAAATATCGGTTACGCAACTATTCAGCTTGCAAATCCAACAAAACAACTCTCCAAACCTCCGCCCACAAAACCCGTATCTTCGGATATCAAATGAAGATTCGGATCGCCGTTACAAAACGAATACAATAAACCCGACGTGGAATCACATCATCGAATGGAAGGGGAATCCGAGGAAATTCGAAATTAGGTAATGTTACCGCGACAACCCTCAAGGTCTGACTGATCTCGCGGCTGTATAATTGGAGGAACAATATTAAGGGAGGGGTTAATTAATTTTTCGGATAACGGAATACGTAATATTGTAGAGTCACGGGGTTATTGCGAATTGGAAATAAGTAATAGGCGATCAGAGATTTTGATTAACCGGAGATTTTTGGTCATGTGTGACCCTTCAATTTTGATGAAAATTTGCACATATATGACCTATAAATTGTAGCGTGAATAATGTAAAAAAATCTGTTAAAAGCAAAATTCAAAAAAGAAAAAAATTGATTTTCTTATTGCTTGTAACAAGCCTTATCATAAGGATTTTTATCAAAATTCAACGGTAAAAAACGAAATAAAAACTGAATAAAAGATATTGGAAAAAAACGAAAGGTGAGGTCTTTATTGTACCAGCCGCATAATTGTTTGATAAGCAGAAAAAAAAATTTTTTTTATTGATTTAATACCGCTTCTTAGAAGAAGGCCTACACGATTTTTATAATCAATTGTTGAGTGATAAAAAGGATGGGCTACAGAAAAAAAAGAAAAAAAGTAAAAATTTGAACAATCAGCACACCGTAAATCCTTAATAAAACGGATTGCATGGCAAGGGAAAATTATGCGTAATAATAGAAGGGCTTTGTTTTAAGGAGGTCCGTTTTGTTCTCAAATTGAGGCTAGGACATCTGAAAGTGTTTGTTGTAGACAGGGTTTGTTTAACAGCGATTATAATGTAATCCAAGAACATGATTTCCCTCCCCTTTGACCTAGACTTGGCTCTCGGGCCGGCCCGGGCCGAAAATCGCGGCCCGGCCCGCGGGCCGGAAGAGGTCGGCCCGGCCCGGCCCGTTTCAATTTTTCTTCGGCCCGGCCCGGCCCAGCCCGCGGCCCGGCCCGGGCCGGCCCGGGCCGGCCCGAAAATGGAGAAGAAGTAAAAAACCTTAATTCGCTATTAGATGTGACATATTTTTCTTTACTATAACAACTAACAGTACATTTTTAAAGCAAAAAATTACTTAACAACGCATTGCCTTTTAAAAATTAATCAAAAAATTTCCGAAATCCGTTTTCAGACTATTAAAAATTGCCCCAAGGTCAATTTTATAGATTCAGCAAAGGTGAAACCACGTTTATCAAGGTTTTCAACTGCAAGATGATAGTGTTGCTTCACACAGCTTCTTAACTGTGTTTTTAAAGATGTGGGTTACGCTTATTTTGAGTTTTTGTTCAAAAAATTACTACAAACACTAATATACATTAGCACTTAATAGATTTTACCAGTAAAATTACTTATTATTAGCCATTTTTGAGTACTTCCGTGCTTTATTTTTATAAAATTATCGTTACTGTAAGAAAAATATAAACCCTATTCTTGGCTTTGCGTTTTAATTTTATTGGCAACCCAACTTTTCGCGTTGAAATTCAGAATTTTAATTTTGCCGGGCCGGCCCGGGCCGAAAGTTGCGGCCCGGCCCGCGGGCCGGAACAGGTCGGCCCGGCCCGGCCCAGCCCGGCAGCCAAGTCTACTTTGACCCCAATCCTCAAAAAACTTTGGCCATTTTTCCAAACTTTGGCCGTTACATTCCGCCCGAACGAGCAAAGACAAACAAAGCAAAGAGCATAATAATTATCCCCTCAACATGTTTTATAACAAGTCTGACGTCTGTTCGAATCTCTCCCCCCAAAAGTGTGCCATAAAAGCAATCGACGCAAAAACAATGGACGAGACGATTGCGCAACCCCGGAAAGAACAACAGATGAACGGAGCGGGAAGAGCGCAAAAAAGTGCTTTTAAGACAACGTCGAGCAGATCTTACAACAAGATTAGATGCGGGTTCTGGAAAATGGGCTTTTGATGGGCAGAGGGATATCATCGACAAGGTCAAAAGGGGAAGCGGGCTGGCTAATCAGCGGTTTTATTGTTGTATATACAATAAATGTGTTGGGGGTATTGGGGATTTTTTAGGAACTAGAGTGAAAGTAAGATGGTCAGAAAGTTTTCTAACGGGAATTTTGCAACAAATTCTGTAAATGTAGGTGCTCCAAGTGAACCAACTCAATTTTTATGAGGACTGGCACAAATTTCAAATAGTTTTCACAGACTTAAAGGTGAGTTTTAGCCGTTTTGAGATTTCCTGATTTTACCGTTGATCTCTCGTCTGCAAAGGACGTTGAATAACCAGATCGGGCTTTCAAATTGAACGCGAACATTTACAGACATTGGTACCGGTCGTAGACAGAAAATACAACCAAAATTTAAAGGAAATGTGAGCTTGTCACAAGGGAAGTACCCCAAGTGCGACGCTCAGATTTTGATGAAACCTCGCACAAATTTAGAATGATTTTTTCTAAAATATATGCGAGAATCCTAGCCCGCGCTTTGCAGAAACCACCGAGGTTTTTAGATCGAAAGTGGGCGAAAATTTGACACTTTTTATCGAATTTCAGCACGAAAAGTTTCATGTGTATTGCTACCAAAGAGGGTAATGTTTCCACAAAAAATCATTTTTTTCCGCACGAAACTAGCAAAGTTATGGCCAAAAAATGTTTCTTTTCTCTGACCGCTCTCCGTGTTTAGCGTACTCTCTCGGCGGAAAAGATCGTTCAATATCTCTTATTTATGGTACTCTCCTTGTTAGTTGCATAAAACCTAGAGGAATAGTGAAAAATAGAATTTCGAATAAATTCAATAGTAATTTTTCAGAAAATACCGATCTTTTGACATCAATCCCTCTACTACCATATAAATCATCATATCAAAATATTAGATCCAAATCAACTTTGAAAACACTCTAAACACCTAAAAAGACCAACAACATAATTTACGACCGATATGTCGCGTCGAGATAACACTTACGTAATCCGAAAACAAACGATGAGTAAATGGAAGGCAGATTTATCGGGAAATTGAGGTAAAAAGATGGATCGAGGTGATCGAACGGAGAAGATTATTGGCACGCGACGATGATTGAGGAGCTGGGGAAGATTGAGGAGTGGAAATAAAGGGTTTACAAAAAGATTGAAGGGTAAATAAAAGGAAAATTATGGGTTTTGCAG